ACTGGGGCTTTGGGGAAAAAATAAATAAATAAATAAAATTATAAAATGTGCCCAGGTCAGTCAGATAATTAGTGTCAAAGCTAGGATGTATTCAGTTAGTGAAATCAAGAGTCCAGGCTCTTATGTACTATGCTATGCTATATTTAAATTAAAAGTAGGAGAGTGAGAAGTTAAGAGAACATAGGCTGTTGTTAAGGTAAAATACAGTCAGCTCTCTGTATTTTCGGGTTCTCACATTCACGGATTCAACCAACCTCGGATAAAAAGGCCTCCGGTGGTTGTGTCTGTACTGAACACATACAGACCATTTTTTCTTGTCATTATTCCCTAAACAATACAGTATAACAACTACTTACATAGTGTTTACATTGTATTAGGTATTATAAGTAATTTAGAGATGATTTAAAGTATATAAACTATGTAAAGTATAGGTTGTGCACGTTATATGCAAATACTATGCCATTTTCTGTAAGGGACTTGAGCATTCTCGGATTTTGGTATCCATTGGGGTCCTGGAACCAATCCCCTGTGGATACCGGGGACAACTAAACTAGAGTTTAAAATTTTAGAATGAAAGTAGTCTTTGGAAATTACAAGGCTTGTAGTTTTGCAACAGAACTGGGTAGCTGAAATAAATTGGAGATGAGGTCACAGAACTTAAGGAATGCAAAGGGGCTAAAAGAGGGATGTACTGAATGGCTTTCCATGAAGCATTGTAGTGGGCTTAAGGTGAAGAGGGCAAATCAGCCCTGGTACGATGTCCTCATCCATGTACAGGGATGATTGGTAACTGATCCCAACAAGGAGAGATAAAAATAGAATCCCCTACAACCTCAACACACATACACAGGCATGCATGCACGTGCACACACACACATACTTTCCAAGGGTCCATGGGAGTAGGTGAATAAACACATTCTACCTGATGGGGCCTCAGTACAAAGTCCTTGGTGAGGAATTAGAATTGAGTTAAGGAAAGCGAGTTGAACAAATGGCTTATAATCAATGGAAAGTTTAGGAGATTTTGTTTGTTAATTTCCTTTCAACAACAACAACAAAATAGCTTTATCCTAAACATCGTGTAAATGCCTGGCAGAAGCTGGGAAGTGACGGTGAGCACTCAATAGAGCACTCAAAAAAAACATTATTTTGGGGGAAAAATATTTCTTTTATAAACGTTTACAACAATGTCATTATTTTATTTAATAATCCAGGTAAAAGTACTACTAAATACTACCACCATTCAATTCCAAGAAACAATCATTGTTTCAGATGAATTGTGTGTGTGTGTGCATGCTTGTTTTCATTGGACAGAAGAAATTGCATAAACCAGTGCTTCTCAAAGTGTGGTTCCTGGAGCAACAGCATTAGCATCACCTGGAAACACTAGAAATGCAAATTCTAAGGTCCCAACCCCCGCCTCCTGAATTGCATATACAGGAGTTGGGGCCCAGGAAGCTCTGAGCTCCCAGGCCCTGAGGGTGATTATTAGCGTGCTAAAGCTGCAAACCTCTAGCCTAAGTCAATGTGTATGTATTCCTTTCTGCTTGCTACTTGGAAATTAAGATCTAAATTCAGCATTCACCTGCAAGAGTTAATTACATTCGGTGCTTGATCATATCTATTTGTTTTAATTACGTTTTCTTCTTCTCTTTCCTCTAGTTTATATTGTGTTTAATAAGTCATAACCATTCTGGAAATAAGTATATATTTAATTAATGACCATTAAATTTCTTTAAAGTCTTACTGAAACATTTTAAAAAATCTGTAACTGTAAAAGAATGCATGAATGTTAGGAATTTGTAAATGTGCATTTGTAGAAGAAAGTGCTAAGAAAGTGGGGGAGAGGAATGGATTCTGATTTAATTGATGTAGGAAAGGGCTGGGCACTGGCATTTAAAAACCAAACAAAAACAAGCTCCCGATGATTAAGGAGCTGATTAAGGTCCTCCGAAGTAGAGGATAGTAGAGAAGAGAACCAGAACGCAGCTGGACCATAGTTACACCATAATGTGCTTCTGAAACTGAAATTCCTTTACTTTGAAGAGTCTGGTGAAAATGACAGTAATAATGCCAGACAATTACAAGTCTGCCTATGAGAAGAGTCTGAAGAAGTGGTGAAGACAAAAGGAAAATGCAACTGAATCTGACATAAGCTTGAAATAGAGCTAGAAAATTAAAAGGAAGAACAGAGGGAAGGGATTGATAACATTGAAGAAAGGTAAGAGGCAGGTCAGGTTTGACTTGATTCATCAAGTGTTTTGAATGATTTGTGGGTTAGCATTCTGCCTGCAATTGTGGACAAAGACTGTTGATTCAAAGACTCAAACTGAGAACTTAAAAACATGCCTCTTAGGAATTCTAACTTAAAAGCAAAATACTTCCAGTTGACTAAAAATAATTAAACTGTGACACAAAGAACATGTTGGGGAAGAGTGCCTTTATTCAGTCTCAGACCTGGAAAAAATATTTGCCTTTGTATTTTTAAAATCATCCCAAACACAGTCCTGACAGCACCTGAGCAAACTTTCTCTCTGGCTGTCACTTCAATAGAAATTCACTGAATGTTAATATTTATTTTGGAATGAGAGAGATTTCTGTAGGTTCTTAGGAATACAAATAAATCTTGAAATGCAAATATTCAACATTTTGGAATAATAAATATGTATTTAAAGAATGATGTTAATATGGTTTATTCATAACTTAAGCAGGTGTGACTCTTAAATAATCATAGTAAATTCTTTATTAGTAAGAGAAATATTATCAAGTTTAAATTTAACTAAACACGCTTCCTAATCATAATTCTGAGATGTCACAACTTTCTATATTTGTTTTAGAAATATCAAATTTAGGAATCATTATCTTCACTATCATTTCAGTAGCAAGAATTTTTAATTTGTTTTAATGATATCCAACATAATCAAGTTAATCAGATTACTGAACAAACCAACAGCTCTATATTTAGCCAGGGCTTTGGAGACAGAATAGATTATTAAATCATCAGGCTTAGAGCAAATATTGGAAAAATATTTTCTTGCATTGCAGTGAGTACAGTTTGCCACCAGAGAGAGCTCAGTCACTATATTTTATTAAAGAGACCAAATATTTCCTTTCAACTAGATGGAAATGCTCTGTCTGAAATACCTGCTATGTTGTAGAAGAAACAAACAGAGCTATTGTTTAATTAATAATATCAAGAGTCAATCTCTGTAAATGAAACTTTCATATTTGGCATTTGAGACATCATTTGTCCCTTGCAAAGAAAGTGTTAGTGTTGAAGGTTTCAAGGAAGATTTCCAAGGGTGAAAGGTTCAGGCTGCATATGGACAGTCAACTCTCTTGCTGACTAATGAGAAGACCTCCTCATATACTAGAAATAAATGTTTTTTCCAAAATGACTCAAAGGATACTTTCCAATATCATCTTTTTACTAAGCTGGGCAACATTAAAAAAAAAGTCATTTGACAGACAAACATGCTCAAGAAATACTCAGTAGTAAATGGAATTTAATAAATAATAACCTGAAATTGATAGATTCTTAGTATTATTTAATTGTCTGATTCACAATTGGGGAAATTTTTAATTATTAACCAAGGTCACCTGATTTAACAAAAATTTAGACAACCATAGTAGATACAATTTTAAGGTCATCAATATCCATTCCCTTCCCTTACCCACAACGTTGATAAGTAAACTAAATGAAGAAACACATACACTCGAGTTTATCCTCAGGTCTTCCTCTTTCAAGGAGAGACAGGTAACAGACAATGTCCTTCAGATGGATTACTTCTGGGGAACACGTATTTGCAGGAGAAGTACGGGGAGGTGTGATGGCACCTTTACTCATTCTCAGACCTGGAAAACAATATATGTCTTTATATTCTTAAAAATATTCACAGTGTTCTCAAACAAAAAACCAACAAAGAAAATAGAGAATGCATAGACCGTGTAGAGAGCTATATATTTCTTAGGCATAGGATAACCTATGTCTAAAAACCTAAAATTCTCTGGAACTCTAGTAAAGCAGAGTCAGACATACTCTATGAGTGCTGTAAATAATGGAGAGTTTTGGGGATTTGGGGACACAGGGACGGCTCTTCCTGACTACTGAAGGGTGTTGGGTCAGGGTCCTACTGCCCAGGGTAAGTTGGCAGACAGATTTGAATGCACAAGGAACCACTTCCTATTCCACCTTTCTTTGCTTTAGGCAGTGACAGCAATAAATCAGCTGGGAAGATACTAAAAATCGACCTTTCACAGAAAAACTGAAGAAGAAACATGAGTCTGTCACAATATGATTATATGTTGATAATCAGGAATCATTCATTCATAAAAACATGTACTTATGCCAAATATTTGCCAGCACCGTGAACAAGACATTGTTTTTGCCATCAAGGAATTTGCACATGAGTAAGAGAGGAAACATAAACAAATATCTGGATAAACATGACATTTAATTAGAGAAGTAAGAACATATGACTGTAGTATGGTTTTAATATGGCCCATATTTTATTTATGAAACCCATTCACTGTGCCTATTCCAAAAAGGCCTGTTCACAACACCTGATGATTGCAGATTGTCTGGCCAATGATAATTAAACTGAAACTCATTCACAATAAATGGTTAGTTCCATCTTACAGGGAAGCCTCTGAAACCAGATCATATGTGCCTGATAAGACCTGAGGGTAAAATCAAATTACCCCTTGAAGTACACTGGGCAACAATGTTTGAGTGAGATGGCTAACGGGCTGAATGGCTACTAGATTCCTAATCAACCAGGAGTTATTGGAATGGAGGGAATAATCCTAACCAAACACACTTCTACAAGCCTGTCATTCCTTAGCACACCTCTACCTGACCACATCACTTGCTCTATTCTATATCCCTCAATGCATAACTTCGATTGACAGTCTATCTCCTCCAACCATCTCAAGATAGCCAGTATGTAATTTAATGCATTATGAAAAGTCACATATTAGTTTTATCATTCACAATGTTACTACTAATAAAAGGTACCATTTATTGAGTGTCTAATATGTGGCAGGAACCATGCTGAGGGCTTTAACATGTATCATCTCATTTAATTCTCACATTAATTCTGTACGGTAGATTGTATTATTATTCCCATTTTACAGATGAGAAACAAGCTTATAGAGATTAATTTCCCAGAGTTTCGTAGCTAGCAAATCCATCCTCTTTATTCTACACTAATGGCTTACAGACTATTTTTGTTCAAGATCAATAGTAAGAAAAAGTAAGAAAAACAATTTACATCTTAATCCAGCACAATCCACACACACACACACACACACATCATTAGTAGGTTTCATAACTGCCCCAGTATTTTCTTTTCTACATTAACCTATTCTCTTCTCTTCTATTTCATTCTTAAAAATCTGTCAAAGACCCTCTAAATTGAATTCACTACCTACTAATGGGTCACAACCCACAGTTTGAAAAACACTGCTTTATACCCTTCCTTCATTTTCTTTACCAAAGTCGTACTTATTTCAAATACATCTCTATGCTTGACATTAATTCTACTTGTTTACAGTTATTGAAAATAGAGATAGATAAATTGATTTTCCTTCTTAACGGAAGTGTCACTATGTCTAATATAAACTAATACACTTATTTTTATAAACCAAGAAGGCAGAGAATTGAAGATAATACTGAGCTTTAAAAAAAAAAAAAATTCTGACTAATTCTAACTAACCAGCTACAGCTTAGCCAGCTGCAGGAATAAACAGTTCCAACTTATGATAAAAGACATTTTGGCACCGACCCTTGAAGTGACCATAACTTCCAGACTTGGAGAACACAGCACTTGAATTATGGTCGGATAAACTATGACCTAACTCCTCCTGCCTGATGAGCTAATTCTCCCTTCTCTGCTTCCTCCTTATGGTACTGAAATGATTTAATCAGCTTGATTTAACTCTTATACAAAAACTCAGAACAAAACAAAATGGAATGAAAAGAACATGTTGTGACATTCATTTGAAAGAATGCTAAATGTATTACACATTTTCACTTATTTAGAACACTTTATGATCATTTCTTTGTACTTATAAAACTAAGGTGCATGGTATTTCATTATCAGCTTTCATAATACTGAATATAAACTATTAGAGAATGTGAGGAACATAAATCTTCTGTTTTCCTTTCCTGTATGTAATGTATATATTGAACATGAGCATACATATAATTTATACTTCGCCCTACCTTTTTGAAAAAACATTTTACTATACTAAAATTGTTTTTGTTTGACAAGATGAGTAAATGTTTCCCATATTCTGTTCATGACACGTTGTAAACTAAAAGCTGTTCCATGTATTTAATTGTGTCATAGTTTTACATTTAAAAGAATTTAAAGGTTATAAAAAAAAAGAAATTATGGGCATATAGACAACACACGTTGAAGAACTAATCCACTCTTCCTTAAGTCCAATTATAGCCAAATTTGAGAGGTAAAATATACATTTTTGCAATGATTTATCAGGTGCGTCAAAGAAAAAGATAAAATGTCAAAGACCATTTTCACGATTCCTTCATAACAAAAAAATTCATAGAGCTGGACTTTACTAAATCTGGAGGTGCTGAATTGATGAAAAGCTCATGAGTTTGTTCCTGCTCCCACCCCCTTCCCCAAGATCAGCCCACTTTCTCTTTTGTGGTGAAATGTTTCTTCATATTTTCATTTCATTTTCTGAAAGCAGGCCCTGGGGCCTCAATCTGTCTTCATACAGATTGTTTTTACACCCTATTCTACCATTTATAATTTTTTTTCCTTTCCCTAAATGTGGCTGGAGTTCTTTCCTTCTACTTATCTCCCTCTATGACAGTTCATTGCCCTGAAGAAAAGTCCTTTCCCTTTTAAGCCGTTTGTGCTAATGGTTACACAGGACACACAGGAAACAACGCAAACGGCGAACAAGAAGTCACAAGCCCGATTTCTTGACTGTAGCTCCTCAACGAGATGGTAAATGGAATCCTACATTCCTCTTTAGCAGCAACAGGCTCTGAAGAAGAGGCTCAAAATTCTACTTCCCACTACAAGGGCCATTTTAACCCATCCAATTATCAGTGAAACTCTCCCTTTACAACTGGAACTGAACGCGAAGCTAGGCAAAACAAAAGGTGCTCCTTTGGCCTCAAGTGGTCAATATTTAGCTCTGAATATCATGCAGTTGATTGACATTCAATCCGCAGGTTCTTTCACTTGCCCAAGATTATGCTTCTTTAAATATTTCTTCACAAAAGTGAAGCAAGTGTATATACACACGCACCCACACCATTTATGTCCACACACCTATATCTATCTATACATGTATACATAATATATTACAATGTACAACACAGCACAAAATAAAGTAAAAAATAAGCATTGTAATTGGAGTGTTTTAGTTTTATTGGGAAGAATTATCTTGTACTTTAAGAGCATTTTTCTGTTTTATGATGATTTTAGTATATATATATCTATATACACTGAAATACGTATATTCTCTTCTCTTCAAAGTTTTAACCTAAAAAATAGTTAGTATTAATCAAGTTGAACATTGCTTACTATTATCAAATTCTCCAAGCTCATGATTTTCATTGTACTCGAATCTAGATACTCCATTTATTGAAACAATAACCTAAAAAGTTTTGTTCGAATAGGTACTTTTAATTCCAGTCTCAAGGTTCGATTACTAGCAAATAAGTTTGGGCTACATGTTCAATTATTGCCTCAGCTCCAGTTCATTTTATTTTCAAACACTTGCATTTCAGATAACGAAAATGGTAGCGTTATCTCCACTGTTTCCCTTCACCTATTAAAGTGAAATTTCAAAATTAATGACATGAATTACATTTCTAAACTTATAAGGCAATAAAACACTCTGGCAATTTGACTTTTCCATTTTTTTTATACCGGTTCAATTTGCAGAAATTTACCAGGCTTATGAAGCAATTTGTCACATGGTGTGATTATACTTCCAGTATCCATATTAATAGTCATGATGAGTAGCATACATAATTGAGAGTAAAAACAGTTATTTTGTATGATCATACATTTCATGATTTTTAGACTTAACCTTCCAACTATGCTTGTCCTACGAAAGTATTATAAGTATTTTTTATATTTTATGCTTCACAAACTGGCAGCAAAATGAGATAGGCTGGGTTACAAATCAACAAGGAATGTAAATTAGATTATTATGATTCTCCATAAAGTGAGGACAGGCAGTGGGATACAGTCTCTGACAAGAGACTGGGGTCAGCAAAATTCCTCTAAGAACATATTCTGGGTTTCATCTGTTTAGGCATTGGCAAAAACCCCAAACAAGCAATTACAGGGGACAGGGCTTGAAGTGCATGTCTTTAGGGGTGATGTTCTAGGAGCAGAGCAAGCTCTGTGAGGGAGCAATGATAATAACACTCCCGGCTGTGTGCCGACAATACTTTCACACAGTGGTCTTATTTGACCCTATAATTCCACTTTAGAGACGAGAGCGTGGAAAGTCCGAGAGTAAAGTAAACCACGGATGGTTACATAGCAATCTGGCGAGTCAAGAGTTGAAGACAGGTCATCTAGTTCCAAACTTCAGGCTCTTTTCAAAAGCAGTAAAAACAAGATCTGTCTACATCAATCCTGTCTAATAGAATATTCTGCAGTGATAGAAATGTTTTATATATACACTGTTCGATATATTAGTATTAACCATATATGGCTGTTGAGCTCATGAAATGTGGCTGGTGTGACTGAGGAATTGAATTTTTGTTTTATTTAATTGTTAACAAATTTAAATAGCTACATTGGGCTAGTGGCTACCATACTCAATGGTGCAGGTGACATACTGTCTGCAGGAAG